TTCAGCCCTGTGGAAAAGGGCAGGGGAAAATAAAGGGAAACAATCAATTTCTAAAGCTAGGGAAACTAGATGAAAATAGGAATCAACCAATAACAAGAGATATCAACGATTAATGACTAGGATTAGATTATAAATTTTGCCAACCAAAGCCAAAAAAAAAAAAACAATAAAAATCAATACGCAAACAGGTAGAACAAAATTTAACAAAGATTTTGGAGAAACTTTTTAACAACGCAGCCAGCAGCGTGCTATAGAGAAAAATTTAAAAAAAATTTATTTAAACAAATAAAAAAAGGATTTTTAGAACCTCTGAAGCAAAATAACCTACAGTAAGGTAGCAATAAAAAACAATACGCCAGGTAATGAAATTAAAGAAGGAATTTAGAAAAACTCTAAAGCAAAGCTCCCTGCAGTAAGATATAAAGAAAAATTAATACAAAAGAAAATTGATAAAGCGAAGGCTTTAAGAGTAACTCGAAAGAAAAGATACCGACAGAAACCAAGTAATAAAAAAGGCCAGGCAAGAAAAGAAAGAGAATGAATAATTTTACAGAAACTCTAACGTAAAGCTCCCTACAGCAACCAAGCAATGAAAGTTCATCGGCCATAAAATGAAAACAACGACGGATTTCAGAGAAACTCTAAAGCAAAGCTCCCTACAGTAACATAGCAATAAAAATTGAAAAGCAGCAAAATAAAAACAACCATAGATTTTAGAGAAACTTTAAAGCGAAGCGCCCACCAGCAACAAAGCAATACAAATTGAACGGCAAGAAAATAAAAACAACGAAGGATTTTAGAGAAACTCTAAAGCAAAGCTCCCTACAGCAACGAAGCAATAAAAAATGACAGGCAAGAAAATAAAAACATCGATGGATTTTAGAGAAACTCTAAAGCAAAGTTCCCGACAGCAACGAAGCAATAAAAAGTGACAGGCAAGAAAATAAAAAAAACGAAGGATTTTAGAGAAACTCTAAAGCAAAGCTCCCTACAGCAACGAAGCAATAAAAAATGACAGGCAAGAAAATAAAAACATCGATGGATTTTAGAGAAATTCTAAAGCAAAGCTCCCTACAGCAACGAAGCAATAAAAAATGACAGGCAAGA